AAAATAAACAGATAATTTTGCATTCGAGCTTGTTGTCTTGTAAAAACTGCATTCGTTTATTTTCACATTGGAACGAAAAAGCCCGACTCCGAAGGGAGACTTTTTCGCCACAATATGAAAATAAACTCATGCAGTTTTTAGGCAACAAGCTTTCATGCAAAATTATCGGTAATTTTGAAGCACTTGTGCAATTACCCCCAAAAATTTTCGGGTAATAGGGCGACGAAAGATTTTAGTAGTTCAAAATTTTTTCAATTATCAAGTGCAGCAAGAAGCAATCTACGTGCAATAAAGTTTGGCTCGGGCCTCTTTCGTCTATAAAAATTACATGCTTTTTGGTGTGTGAACTTAAAATTAGCTCTTTATGTTTACTTCTATTGAAAGTCACTTAATTTTGCCTTATATTCGTCCTCGAATCTTTCGTTCTTTAATCGCTATCATTTAGGTAATTGTCCATTAATAAAAAATAATAATATAAAATGAATTAAAAATTGGTATTTATTTCTTACAGTTACTTCTTGCCATATGTTTTGCCAGCGGCATTATCGGACATGATAACCCATCAAACCAACAATACCATATTCAAACTGACGAAGGTCCAGAAAGATACTTCCGATATCAAACATTGAGTGGACAATTCCGGAAAGAAAAAAGGTTGGAAGATGGAACAGTAATTGGGACTTACGCATGGATCGATGACGACGGTAAGCGAAAAACTTATGGTTAACCAATTGAAGAAATTTTATTTAGTCAACAGTTGCGGTAGCTTTGATATGGCATTGCAAACAGATAAGCTACTGATTGACAAAGTAGTGCTAAACTTACATAATTAGAATATGATCAAGGTATTTAACACCGAAAGCAAAGTGACAACATTTGGAAAAATTTGTCAGGTGGTTTAGCAAAATGTTACAAGCATCTTAATAGAAAAATATGACAACGACTGAATTATGCTGGCACTAAACCTCGTTTGTGTTAAAAGTTGATGCTTCACAGCAGGTACATCACAAACATTGGGGTCTAAACTAGGAGGCGGCAAGAGCGTTCTTGTGATTATTGTCAGTTGGATCGATCGTATGTTTACTAGTAGTGAACGAGAAAACTCTGAACAGTCAGCGAAACTTCTAATGCTTATTATGCTACTATACTTAAGGTAGATTTAAAAACCGGAATCTCATTTACCACATTGATTTTCCTGCCGTAGTGTGAGATATTAAGAGAAAATATCAAATGCATACATGAAAATGTTAGTATGAGAATATTACCTTGACATTTCGATGGCAATTCCGCTAACGTGATCAAAAGGTTACCTAAAAAGGAGTATATTATTACATTGCGGACAAAAACACAAAAATAAAAAATGGAAATTAATTCGCGGTGCAAAAAACAATCAATGGCCTTCCTAAGACATTATAGCAACATTCGCAAAGTCTGTACCTATCAACATTTTCGAAAAAGCGTCTCAAAGGTGCCGTTTCCAATAAATGTTTACCAGATTGAAATTTCAGAATGGGAAATTGACAGAATTTAAGAGCGTGTCTGAAAAACGAGTAAAAATACTGCTAAAGCCGTAGTTGTTTTTTTTAGGTCATCTTCAGAACAATCTTTGTGTTATAAAAAATGCTCGCATTGTTATAAGAAAAAGTTTAAAGCCGCTATTTCCGAAACGATTGACATTGCCTGTTAAGCCGTAACGACAGAACCGATAAAGCGAAAATTTTGTATAGCTAGTACTTTCGCCCGTTTTTTAACAGTAGTTGTGGTCAAGGCAATCTGATTGGTATTCTTCACTATTTTCCGCTATCGATGTAAAATTCGGTTTAGAAATAAATGACTAAAAATAAGGCGTCATTTGATTTATGTTTTCGTCGCATGGAAGACTCAAAATTGAGGAGGCTTTTATTAATTACTTTTTCAGAACATGACGCCACACATAATTTGTATTTTTGATTATTTGAATAGATTAAAAATTTGATTCAACGATTTGTGAATCAAAAACTTGTTTCAAATCAGTTGGGGTTGGGGCTGTATTTGTGCGGGTTTCAGAGCAGCAAATTGAGTTCCAAAATATGTTTTAAAATCTCTTTCAAAACCATCAATGGCAACAATCTATAAAACTGGTCATCAAGAAAAGGCCGTTATTATTGAAACAGGACGATGAAAATAAAAGTGTTTTATTTTTCAACCTATTATTTCTGTAGAGATTTACGTACGTCCTACGTTACTTTACCTTCAGCCTGTTAATCTTGAAATATTTCAAATTTTGTAAATACCTAGAAACAATCTTTACCAATCGGTACCATGTTATATAGCATAGCAGTTGTTTAGTGGGAGACATGGTTTTGTTGGACAAACTAGATAGAAAATAAAAACGTTTCTCTTATAGAAACGGTTCAAAAGAGCTGATTATGTTATTTTGTGTGTTGGTGGCGTATTCTGATGTATCATTTAACCAACAAAATGTACAATCCATATTCCATTATGCGGAATTATTAAATTAATTTCGCCGTGCTGACAATTACGCTTTTCTTGGAGTTGAGGGTTGCATCTCAATATTTTGGAGGCATTGGAGGCATTGGAGACTGACTGAAGTCCATCGTACAGCTTGTAACAAAGTGATATCATGTATCTTATGTTATGTATTCAAGTAAATAATATTTTATTCAATAAACTGATGTTTTAGGCAATTTAGAAATCTTAATTCAGTAACGCAGCGACTCTGATGGATTTTACATTTTGTGACAATCTTATTATGCCAACAGATAATACTCCTACGTTTATGGGTTCGAAAGATTTCTGTAAATCGCTCTGTTTGCAAACACAACTCGAATCCTAGCAAACAATAATCGCGCTACTATTGAACCTGGATTCAATAGGTCGTTCACTAACTTAACGAACTAAATAGGGCGCGTCGCGCTTGCTTCATATAGCCGTTTGGCAACACTCAAATATTCTGGTTGAATAACGTAATATTTCTTATTCCAAAGCCGTCGAGCTCTTCTCGCTGGCAGCGCTTCTGGTATTTTTTTTGCGCTCGCCGTAACAATACATAACTCATT